TGTAATGTGGGGACTGTTGTACGCTGAAGTTACTGTAACATCACCTTCGAGTTACACTAAAGTGTTTCCTCCGTGGAGAACTATCATATTATTACAATAGAATGACTACAGTTGTACTTTCCCATTCATATTAGCGAGTGGCCACATGTACTGCACATGAAGGTACTAAAACACACTGTGCTTCCCATAGCAATGGCAAGAAAGTTTGACAGAATACTTCACTTAGTAGTTTTGTCAAGGTACTATGTTGTCATGGAGTTGGATTAGTTATAGGGCTGTAACTAATGATGATTTTCATTATCTGTAGATCATTTTCTTGATTAATCGATTAGTTGTTTGGTCAATGAAATGAAAAAATGGTGAAAATGGTTGAACACTATTTCCCAAAGCCCAAGGTGACATCCTCAAATGTCTTGTTTTGTCCACGATCCAAAGATATTCAGTTAACTGTCGTTGCAGCTCTAGCTGTCATCGTGTTATTTCTTTGAAGTGTAAAAGATTTATGTTAATACGCTGTGTTATTTTTATTCTTTACCTAAATGACCATTAAGCTGTAACTGTCCAATATCAGCTGAATGCATATCAACCACGTGCGTCTTTTTCAACAGCTCCTGGTGAGGATCAGCCAGACGTCAACGTGGTGCTGTCAGCTTACAGCCAGCAAGGAGACCCTGCTCTGTATGGGGTTTACTACAGCGGCCTGAAGAGGTTCATAGAATCGGTTTTGGACTGTCATCGAGCAGAGCTGTCGCAGGTCTTCTACCCGCTGTTTGTCCACATGTATCTGGAGCTGGTGTACAACAATCACGAAAATGAGGCCAAGGTGTTCTTTGAAAAGTGAGTTTCCTTGACTTATTGTATTTCCTTCCAACTATAAACGGCTTACTTGATTTTATTTTAAGTAGCACTAAATCCCGGGCCACTTGAATAACCCGTACCTCACTCGTTTCCCTCCATCCCAGGTTCAGCGGGGATCAAGAGTGCTACTATGAGGATGACTTGCGAATTTTGTCCAGCCTGACCAAGAAGGAGCACATGAGAGGCAACGAGACCCTGCTGGACTTCCGCACCAGCAAGTTTGTGCTGCGTATCTCCCGTGACTCTTACCAGCTGCTGAAGAGGCACCTGCAGGAGCGTCAGAACAACCAGATCTGGAATATCATCCAAGAGCACCTCTACATTGACATCTTTGATGGCATGCCCCGCAGCAAGGGCCAGATTGACGCCATGTCCGGCAGCTTGGCAGGAGAGGCCAAGCGAGAGGCCAATAAGGCTAAGGTTGGATTTATACACAGGCAGACTAAAATGATCCAATCTGTGTTTTCTTCTTGACTTTGAGTTCATGACATGTTGTCATTTTATTATCTTTCCATCAAGGTTTACTATGGACTGCTGAAGGAACCAGAAATCGAGCTGCCTCTAGATGACGAAGACGAGGAGGCAGAGAATGAGGAGGGGAAACCCAAGAAGAAGAAACCCAAGAAGGACAGCATGGGCTCCAAGAGCAAGAAGCAGGATCCTAATGCACCTTCACAGACTAGGTAGATACACCGGTATATAGCTCTGGACTGCTGGTGCCTAGTTTTGTCTCAATCAACTGACTCGTAAGACCAGAACAGTACGATTCATTAGAAGCTGCATTTCAGTTGAAAGTCCCACATTTAGTCATAGCAACGCAGGGGTTATTTACCTTGTAAAATCAATATTAAGTAAAGGGATGAGTTCTGATGTTGGCAACTGACTGACTTTGCATGCAACCATACACATACTGCTCATGAATCAAAAGGTTAAATTAGAAGGAAATGACTAATCCACAAACAGTACAAACGTTAATGGTGTTGTAGCCTCATATTTACTTGTGAGCTCTTTTTGAAAAAGGCAATATTCCTACTAAGCTGTTTACATGGCCAGTAAAAAGGAATATTCCACCTGTTTACATGCATCTGTGCTTGCTCTAATTGATGTGACTGTTAATGAAGTACTATACGTCCTACGGTGGAATTGACCTCCTTTCAATCTTCCCTTTTCCTCCTTTTTAAACTGCAGTCATCTTGCTCCAGTGGTAAATGTGGAACAGCTGTTGTGCATGTTGTGTCATAAAACCCAAATGAGACGCGTATTTCAAATGCTCTGTATACATGTCTAAAGAACGCTCCTAAAATGTGAATAATATTGGTAAAATCGGCATATCCCACATGTCTTAGTCAGTAAATGCTACATTAGGAATGATGCCTAATTAGGTATATCCAAACGGAATATGCTGTTTACATGACCCATATCAAATGCAGAATATTGTCATTTTTTGTAATAATAGTGGAAAATGTGTGCGTAAACGTAGTCAGTGACGGTCGTTTCTTGTTGTTCAGGATACCTCTTCCAGAACTAAAGGATTCAGACAAGTTGGACAAGATCATGTACATGAAGGAGGCCACCAAGAGGATCCGCCTGGCACCAGATAACCTCCCCTCCATCTGCTTCTACTCTTTTCTCAACGCTTACCAGGTAGTGATTCATAACTGCAGCAATTCACTGTACGTCACAACATGTTGAACATTTAAGCAAGTGGTAGAGATTGCACAGTTGGACAGACAAACTACAGAAGAATCATTTCTAAGTGTTCTCCCCTTCTGCCCTGCAGGGTCTGACTGCAGTAGACTTCACAGATGACTCCAGCCTGATTGCAGGGGGCTTCGCGGACTCAACGGTACGGGTGTGGAGCGTCACGCCGAAAAAGCTCCGCAAGGTCAAGTCTGCGGCAGGTACAGTGTTTGACAGTGACCACTGATGAATGACCGACAACCTTGCTTGATTTTATTATGACTTTCTTTACCTTAAATAACCCCCCCTCCCTTCTCTCACTCTAGATTTGAATCTGATTGACAAAGAGTCAGACGATGTGCTGGAGAGGATCATGGATGAGAAGACGGCCAGTGAGTCAAAGATCCTCTACGGACACAGTGGGCCGGTGTATGGCATCAGCTTCAGCCCAGACAGGTATAAAGCATTTCATTGGCAACGTTTAATATTACCATGTCTGCCTACGCACTCATTAATACATTTAACCTAGAATAAACATTTACTTTCTTTTATTTTTGTCTGTGCATCTAAACATAACTCCGGTGGTTCCTTTTGACCTTCCTGTTTTGCCTTTCAGAAACTACTTGTTGTCAAGTTCTGAAGACGGTACAGTCAGGCTCTGGAGTCTCCAAACATTTACTTGTCTTGTGGGCTACAAAGGCCACAACTACCCAGTGTGGGACACCCAGTTTTCCCACCATGGGTACTATTTTATCTCTGGGGGTCACGACAGAGTTGCCCGGTAAGGAAATGCATAACTTAACTGAGTAGTATTCTCCTGTAACTCAGAGGTAAACAACATACTGCCAATACACAGCCGGTCTGTCTACAGATGTGTTATTGGTCTGTGTTTTCTCCAACAGCCTGTGGGCAACAGATCACTACCAGCCTCTACGGATTTTCTCTGGTCACCTAGCTGATGTCACTTGCACCCGCTTCCACCCCAACTCCAATTATGTTGTCACAGGGTCGTCTGATCGCACCATCCGTCTCTGGGATGTCCTGACCGGAAACTGCGTCCGCATCTTCACTGGTCACAAGGTCAGACGAGTCAGCAGAGCGGTACCCTGATCTGTGGTCTCCCATTCAGCAGAAAATCCTTGTTATAGGGCTGAGCATCAGTTATTACACATTGTCAGTAGAGTCATCTTATGAACAAAGAAAAACTTCAAACCAGGCTGCTGTTCCCCCACAAGTTGTGAAATGTCATGTGATTCCTATTGAACACCAACATTGAGGTGATGCAAAAAATATATAAATATAAATATAACTTACATTACAAAACAGTTAAATATATTACTATAACTTTAAGTAGGTTTAGAGAATTATCTGTACACCCAGAGTTAAAGATGCTTAAGATTCAAAGATCTATGGAACAGCACTGCTGCAGAGATGACCACTGAGCCAGTCTTTTCACTGCATTTTTCAGGGTCCTATCCACGCGCTGGCTTTCTCTCCCAATGGGAAGTTCTTGGCTTCAGGAGCTACTGATGGCAGAGTTCTTCTGTGGGACATTGGTCATGGGCTGATGATTGGAGAGCTAAAAGGCCACACAGATACCATCTACTCCCTCAAGTTCAGCAGAGACGGCGAGATCCTTGCCTCTGGTGGGTGAACTACAATGTCTCTTAATTTTACATCAGTTGATTATCTGTTAACATCATTTAACTGAATGCATTTGGAGCCAGATCTGTTCAACTTTAGCTACAGGAGACCATACCCCTGTAATCTTAATCTGTGCGTTTCAATGTATTGATATTCAGATTTGAGGGGAGTCTTTGCTGGTAAACTCGCAGTGACGTTTCATCTTATTCTTTCTTTAGGCTCCATGGACAATACAGTTCGTCTGTGGGATGCTTTGAAAGCGTTTGATGATTTAGAGACTGATGATTTCACAGCAGCTACAGGACACGTCCATCTACAAGATAACTCCCAGGAGCTTCTATTGGGCACCTACATGTCTAAATCCACACCCGTCATACACCTTCACTTCACTCGCAGGAACCTGCTGCTGGCCGCTGGGGCCTACAATCCATGAGACATTGTTGAATTATGAGAAAATAATCTATAGAAACTTGAAATGAGACACACATCTGATCCCCAAGCTCCATAAGTAACTGGAGGTTCTTGGTGCAGTGGGAAACAAACAACTGTATTATCAACAAATCACCTCTGGTGAACCTCTAGCTGTGAATGAAGATTACATTTAGGTTATTAAACTCTTGTTCTGGCCCTCAGGCCCCAAATCAAGCTGGCCTATATACCCTATATCCCCTTGCCTGAGAAAAGTGCCATTGTTGATTGAGGACTTTTTTTAAAATCACTGCCATGTTTACAGCTTTTTTTTAACACGTGGCTGACATTTCTGTATTATAATTATTTTATACTTGCGTACACTGTAAATAAAACAAGTGTTTTCTATGTATTGGGCACAAATGTTCTTTATTGTTAACATAGGGATACCAAACACTCATATTTTATTACAAGCACGTCCAGCTGCTTCCTCCACTCCCAGCTGTTAGAGATGATGGTCAAAATGGACACCTGTAAGGACACAACAAAGGGCCTTAGGTTGATTGGATGGAGCGATACTTAACAAAAGTACATATGTACTTGGAAACTAATAGGATAGAGACACTTATGCACTTACATTATCACTTTTCTGTGACGGCGGCCTGCTTCTTGGGCTTCAATTTGAAGAAAAGGCCAATGCCTAATATGGTGGCATATGTGAGCAAAACACACTAAAAAGAAGAAAAAAAAGGAGGCACGATGAGAAATTCATAGAGAGATTTAACTGTCAAATGTGAAAATGCAGTTTATTGATAGTGAAGCTGCACACAACTCACATTCCTCCTTCCTGTGATTGTGTATGCATTGAAGTACTTGGCAATACCAGTGAACTGGTGCTGGGATCCGGCGTCGTGTCCTCCCATGATGGATTGTTAATGGTCCTACCACAAGGAGAATAAAGGTGATTGATTAATAATATTAGTACATGAGCAAGTTCATTTTTGACCTTGGAAACTAGTATGTGTGACTAAAACAAAATATGCTAAAAACTGTTAGTTGATCGACAGAAAATGAGTTGACATATCAAATTCCTGAAAGTCGTTTTCGTAGCATTTTATAATTGCAGCCTGTTGTATGTTTGCAGATTCAATTAGTAGATAGAATACTAAGAGTTGATACTAATCACACAACATAGATTATTAAATTAGTCAAGCATTTTATAAAATTACAATTAGCTACATTTTGACAGGAGCAAGTGTGGGGAAAGCAAGTTAGCTGGTGAAATAAACAAGGAGCTCTTCAGAAGGAGCCTACTTTATTTTGGCACGACACATGAAAAAACACCTTATTTGCAATTTTAATTTACTTACTGAATCAATTGACTTTAATGCGTTATTGCATTAGAGAATGTGCAGCTTTAACGATGGGTAAGCTCGACATGCTAATGTTACTTAACGACAGATCTAAAAATGAGAACAAGCTCAACAACAACACTCCAGTATAATGGTGTTTACTGACAACTTCACCTGTTTAAAGTCAATAACGTTGTGGCTCCAACAGAGGACATTTCATTCAGACTGACTTTGGTTCAAAGCTCGTTAGCTGGCACACTGTACAGTAAGTTAGCTTGCTAGGTTAGCCTGCTAGCTAATTCAACATTCAGACCTGAAGTTAAACATTACACTGTCACATTGTCACAGAGGGGCTTCAACGATAACATGAGTACTGCTCTGCGCGTTCAAACCCAAAGTAAGTGGGTTCATTTCTTGCTAAATACGTGAACGTTGTATGTCTTACCTCTAGCACACGACCCCTGTACAAACAGAATCAGACAAGTGCCCTTCAGCAGAGGCCGCAATGCTAAATTCACAAGGAAGTCCCGCCTACTCAAGGTGGGTTGCTATAGGTCCAAAATAATGTCACTCAAAGTTAGGGTCTCAACTATCCACTGAATGGCTAAAGATGGTATCAATCATTGTTCTCGTCTGTGATTGGACAAAGAATGACCCGCCCACATGAGTTTTTCTTCCGGGTTGTGATCATGGCGTGCTGCTGAACAACATGTGAGTTTTCGTATCCTGAAGCCGGAGATTGAATGTAAGGAAACATTGTGTGATAACTACCGAAAGAACACTTCAATGTATGTTTGAATCAAAGTCAGGGTTGTCTCTACAGAAATAGTTCTTTTATCTGCTGGCAAACTTACTTACTCTTTAGCTCGAGTGCTAAAATAGGAGACAGGTAGCTAATGTTGGCTCGTGCATGTTGAGGGGTAACACTGTGCACATTTGTATTGCAACTTGTTTCAAATGTGCCCTTTAAATGTCTCCAGCTGGTATAAATAGTTGTATGTGCTTGTGATGGATCAAACAATGCCTGAGTAGAAAGCTCAGTTTGTGGCTCTCATCATTGTTTTCATATGTGTGACTTAATGTTGTGTTAATAGTGTATAAACGATGATTGAGTTACATGAGATACACAAAATGGGTCTGATTATTGGCTACATCCATTTGTCGCTTAGTATAATGTAACTTTTGTATGATCAGCAGGTTAAGAGGTTTTGAAAAGTTCTGTTTATTGACAGTGACTTTGGTTTTCTTAGACATCTGAAACAGCATCAAACATCTGAAACAGCATCAAACATGGCATCATTGGAGGAGGACTTCCCCCGAGGGGGGACGGCAAAGAAGCCCACTGAGAGTAAAATAGTGGTGCAGCGGACAGAGGTGGACAACTTGTTCCAGGTAGAGTTACCCTCTTTTCTATCTATCTGTATCCATACTACTGTGAGCGATCCATACTTGTATCCCCAGAGAGAAGATCATCACACACTGTATTCCTTAAGTGCTAATCATTCTTTCACATCGGCCGCCTTTCCTTTCACACACACTGTAGTTTGGCTTATGTTTTGTATACTTACAAATCAGTGTCATCATCCGCAGATAGCAGTAGCTTGCTTTTCTCTTGCAGTCAAATGAACAAGCAGAAACCAAGAAAAGAAAGGGGGCGGGCAAGGATGACGGCAAGAAGCTCAAAAAGTCAAAGACGGCCAAAGAAAAAGGAGACGGATTGACGCTGAATGCAGCTGTCAAATGTGTGGAGATTCTACATATCAAGGTAAAACATTCGTCAAGAACCAGTGTGTATGTTTATAATTAGTTAAATGTTTTAAGTAGCTTCATTTTCTAAGGAAAATAATTTTCGCTACTGTGAATCAAAAGTGTATTCAGGGTATTTCAGCATAGCATCTGACTTGATTTTGTGTGTGTGTTTTTGTGGATTTTGCAGAACGTGAAGGAGGGTATGCTGATGCTGGGTTGTGTGAAGGAGGTAACAGACTTTGAGGTGTCAGTCAGCCTGCCGTGTGGCCTGCAAGGCTTTCTCAGCATCAAGAACATCTGTGACTCGTATGCCAAGCTGCTCAGCGAGCAACTGGATTCAGCTGATACAGAGGTAGGTCTGATTTAAATATACTGTCACAGATGATGCATGACTCCAAACTGCCTGTGCCATTGTTGGATGATTGGCTGAAAAATCTGGGTTCAGTTTTACGCCAGTTTTATTGCTTCTGTGGAGTCTAGAATCAGTCTCATTACATCTACATTAGAGTAAAGATTATACATTAAACCTATTTATGTCAAGAGTTTACTTTCATCCCAGGATATTCTGTGATATTCAAAAGGTGAATCGTGTATTTTTACATCACAGGAAATCTTCTCTCTGCCACACCTCTTCTACCCTGGCATGGTGTTGAGGTGTGTGGTTGCCAAGTTGGATGTAACCAAAGGAGGCTCTCTCAGCATCCAGCTGTCAGTCAATCCAAAGCTGGTCAACAAAGCTCTCACCTCAAGCTCTCTGAAAGCTGGCATGGTGAGTCCTTAATGAGCAAAAATAAAATTACATACAGCTTTTCTTTTTCTATCTAACAATTTTTTGAATTATTTTGTGACAACTCAGGTCTTGAGTGGGTGTGTGGAGAGTGTGGAGGACCATGGCTACATAGTCGACATTGGCATTAGTGGAACCAAAGCCTTCCTGCCCAAGGAAGCGGCAAAAGACAAACCTAACAACCCGGAAGGTATGACGAAGTATTTTGGACCACCTGTCATTTACTGAGGAAATGAGAAATGAGAGTAGGGTTTTGCCTCGTCTGGAGCGTGCCTCTCCAGCTTTTATCAAACACGTTCAGAAAGTGAGGGATTGGAAAGAAGTGTCAACACGTCTCTCAAGCATGTCTGTTTTCTCATGTGTCCAGAGCTGAAAGTCGGTCAGTATTTGACCTCTCAGGTGGAAGAAGTAAAGAATGATGGGCGCGTGGTCCGCCTTTCTGTCAGCCCCCCGACTGTCGCACAGGGCTATGCTGAAACTGAGCAGGGCTGGAACCTCACTAACCTTCTGCCTGGTCTTCTGGTCAAAGCTAAGATCAAAAAGGTAGAGATAACTTTTATTTTGGTAATGTTGTTTAGCGTTTTTTACTATAATAATATCAATACATATTCAGTCCAATGAAGGAATTTATCCAGTTAAAGCTCTACTTGCCCTCAATGCAGTGGCTATAACAGCTTCAGTGGTAGCTATGTTTCATTTGAATAAAGTCTACATGTTGGTATTGCAGGTGACCAAACATGGTCTGTTCCTGGACTTCCTGTCCTCCTTCAGTGGCCAGGTGGACTTTCTCCACATGGAGCCAGAACAGGCTTCCAGCTACACAGAGGGAACCGAGGTAAATCTGTCCTGGCACATGGATCCTTTTGGCTTATATTAGACGGTGTATCACTTTGTGTTTGTCTGTATCTGGCCACTCTAATAGTGATATTTTGGATTTAAATCCACCCTATTAAAATAAACTTGCATGAAGGTGTTAAAAGTGACCAGTTAATGGGGTTTCCATGTGTGTATATTATTATATAAACCTGTTTTCATCAATCCACCCAGGTGCGAGCCTGTGTGCTCTATGTGGAGCCGTCCACCCGTCTGGTGGCCCTGAGCCTGCGCAGCTACCTCGCTCAGCCCGGAAGCAGAGTTGACCCCTCTCCTCCTGGAGATGACCGCATTGGTGAGGTGGTGAAGGACTGCAAGATGACCGCAATGCACCACATGTCTGGAGCCATGTTGGAAATGCCAGACAAAATGACGGCCTTTGTACATGTGAGTCGGAGCGATGCTTTAATTTATTTTTATTTAAACTTACTTAGAATAAATGCTATAAATGCTCTCTGTAAATATTCAGCTGTCTAAGCATTGGGGTAAAAACTTTATTTATATTTCTTGACAGAGGAACCACCTGAAGGAGCCTAAGGAGCCAGCTAATGAAAACAGAGTGTTTGCCATGCCTGAGCACACCTGCAGGATACTGGACTTCAGTCCCATGGACCAAATTTATTTTGTTAGTCTGCGCAAGTATGTAGCACCTCATTTATGCATCTTATTCCCTAGTTAGCATGGACCTTACTGTTTTTAATTTGATATATTAACAAACCCCCTTTGTCTTGTTTTCAGGAGTATTATTGAGAAGCCTTTTTATAGGTACCACGATCTTCATGCCGGTCAGATTGTAGAGGTATGAATATCAAGTATTAAAATCAATTGTATTTAAATTAATAGTTTGATATTTTAAAGAAATATGCTTGTTCGCTCTCTTGCCTTTAAGAGGTGTTAATGCCTAGAAGCAGCCTTGCTAACATTAGTGTAAATTCCTGTAAATGAGCCTAAAAACAAAAGGTTAAAGCTGGACACAGTTTAAGTACCCTCTCCCATTATTTTTCCTGTGTCATTCTGCTCTCTCCCTGATTCTTTGGTCTGGTTCACATTGTCTTCCTTCCATGTGTCTCTCCTTCAAAGGGGACAGTGTCCGTCCTGCTGAGTCATGGTATGGTGGTACATCTGTCTGACCACATTAAAGGCTTGGTGCCCCGGACCCACCTGTCTGATATCCTCCTTAAGAACCCAGAGAAGAAGTACGTGGAGGGCATGAAGATCAAATGTCGGGTCAGTCCAGTTCCCTACTTGAAGCCCCTCGAGAACAAATGGAGAATCAGATCTGCAGTTTAAACTGTCTGGCAGATTTGCAAATCATCTTTCATATTTGTTTTATTCCTCCGTTTGTGTGTGTGAATATCTTCCCTCAGGTGCTGTCAGTAGAT